ATTTAACAGCATTATTCAATTATTTGTGTTTTTACCGAGCGGCAACCTTCTGGTCTCTTTAATAAATATACACAGTACACATATATATTAGGTAAACAAAAACTTTTATTTTGGATGCGATTAATCATTTGACAGCACTAGTTTTTACATTATTTGTGATAACTTTTAGTGAGCTCTAGATGATGGCAAATTGGCAAATATAATCTAAAAATAAAAATAGGGAAAATGTGCATGCACAATCAAATATCCCTTATTAACACTACTGTTTTTTTAAAAAGAAATTAATACTTTTATTTAGCAATGTCTCATTAAATTTACGTTACATTTACATTTAGTCATTTAGCAGATGCTTTTATCCAAAGTGACTTACACTGCTCCCACCTCTTTGCCCATTTTCGATTATCCGGAAGTGACGCGCGGTGACGCGCTGCCAAGATGGTGACGGCCAGCTCCGCCCACTTTGAGCTTCAAAAACGCTCTTTGGAAATCTACAATCAACAAAAGAGCAATGATATACAAGTGCTATAACAAGTCTCAGCCTAACGTAGTACATGTTGCAAGGTTTTTTTTATTTATTATATAATAAATAAAAAGAAAACGGATAGAATAGAAAAAGAATATAGCAAGCTAGTGTTAGAGGCCTTTTTTGCTTTTTGGTAATTATATGATAAATAAAAAGAAAACAAATAGAATACAAAAAGAATAGAGAAGTAAAGACTTTTACATTGTTATGAAAAATTCCTGTTTCAAATAAATGCTGTCCTTTTGAACTTTCTGTTCATCAAAATAAAAAAATGAACTCTTTTCAGTGTTGATAATAATAAGAAACATTTCCTGAGCATCCAATCAGCTTATTAGAATAATTTCTGAAGGATCATGTGACACTGAAGACTGGAGTAATGATGCTGAAAATTCAGCTTGGCCATTACCTAAATAAAAATCATTTTAAATATATAAAAATAGAAAAAAAAGTTATTTTAAATTGTAATAATATATCACAACCCTCTACGCACACCTTGGCAATATAATGACGGTAATAGATGAGCGCCAGCCAACGAGAGCTGTTCGCGCATTAGCTCCGCTCACTGCCGAGAAACCGGCATATCTTTTGCTTGTTCTTAAAAGCTGAATAATTCTAAATGAACTCTGTTATTTTGACAGGAAATACAACAAATAATATGGTTTACATGTAGCGCGTCGATTCAGCGTGGTATGCAAGACTCTCGCTCTCTCTCTTTGCATGTGTGAGAAACACAGCGCTATCAGTAAAGCGACGGCGAGTCGTGCGCCTTCACACTAGTTTACGGTACGTCAAATACAGGTGCGCTGCGTGCTACATACTGCGCATCCATTGAGTACGTGACATGATCCATTGAGCGCATCCAAATAGTACAGATCGTTTGACGGAGAGTGAAACTCTCAAGCGCTCAGTCAGCGTGTTTATCGAGTGAAAATCTGTGTTGAACGCCTCTCACACACATAATGGCGTGTAAAATCTAAGAATTTATTAGCCAATGGCTAATGTTAGACATTATTTAGTCGCCCAGAGTAAGATTTAGTCGCATATGCGAGTGATTTACTCGCAATGTAGAGGGTTGTATCAAAGTATTGCATTTTTACTCTAGTTTTGATTAAATAAATGCAGCCTTGGTGAGCATAAGAAACGTCTTTTAAAAACATTTAAAAAATCGTACAAACGCTACAAAAATCCCAAACTTTCACTTGGTTTTATTGTGCTTTATTTGGTTTTAGATGCACTTAACAAGTGTCTGGTGTTGTTGTGGAATGTGTTGTTTGATTTAGATTCACATTTGATGTTTATAGACCTATGTACATTCAACCTTTTATATTACAATACCTGTCAGTACATGGCCGTTTACCTCATAATTACGTGTTCCTTGTTTTTCCTCATCAGACGATGCTGCACTACCGTTCTAATCTGCTGCAGACCATGAGCACGCTGCTCTTCTCACCCCTCCTGCTCACAGGTGTGTCTGAGCAGAAACAGCTCATCGAGGTGGAGCTCTACCCAGATTTCAAATCAGACCTTGTAAGTTTGTAAAATGTAAACAAGACTGACAAAACTGTGCCATTGACATTTTTCATATTATTCATGCCAAGAGTACATATCTAGTATTTAAAAATCATGCATTATATCGATCTGTCCTTCACAGTACCAGCCTGCCGTTGGTGCTGTGATCGAGATTCAGTCCTGCAGAGTCCAGATTTATTCTGCCCAGCTCAGGATCCTTGCCTATTTCACTGGCATTCGGTATTTGCCATGGTTTGGTTTTATCAGTTTATTTGACTATACAGGTGCATCTCAATAAATTAGAATGTCGTGGAAAAAAATGTGAGCCAAAATCATCACAATTAAAAGAACCAAAGGTCTGTGTGCATTGAATTTATTTAATACACGAGTTTCACAATTTGAGTTGAATTACTGAAATAAATGAACTTTTCCACGACATTCTAATTTATTGAGATGCACCTGTACGTGTTCCATGAAGTGATGCAGCTCAAGACTTTCCCCCATGACCATCCTGTAATGTTTTTCCCTTTTGCTACAGATACCTCCTGTATAATTTCCCTGTGATGTCTGCAATCGTTGGGGTGGCGAGTAACTTCACCTTCCTCAGTGTCATTGTGCTCTTCAGTTACCTGCAGTTCATCTGGGGAGGGCTCTATCCCCCCGAGCAGGTCAGAGTGAAGGTAAGACCATCTGTCTGCCTAATCTATTTAACCTTCATGCTGTCACACTTCCATTGGATGCTTTCCAGACGTCTGTTTACATACATAGGTGATGATGGGAGACTCGACACGTCTTCAGCAGAGGAGGGAAGAAGCACGTAAACGTATGCACTCATCCTCCAGCACTCCTAGTAAGAACACATAACTACTGCACACACATGATCCCATCAACCAAACAGATCAGTCAATAATACGCAATTCTTCTACTGTCTCTCAGTCATGCCATATGGAAGAGATAGCGGTGAAGCAGCAGATCCACCAAAACAAACTGTTCGACACAAAGGTGAGTGAGTGAGAGCATGCGACAAAAAGAAAATGTGATCAAAGTGATGCAGTAGATCTCTGTAGCAATTATATGCACATTAGTGCAATAAATGTAGTGATCATGTCGGTGAAGAATCATGCAATCATGTTTGTTTGTGCAGGTGACTTGGACACTCCTAGTGCGACTGGGACAGAGGAACTGAATCACCTGCAAGTGGATGAAGCTGGTAAAAATATAAACTTAAAACATAAGAATAATTGAATGAGAACATAAAATGTTTTTGAAAAGTCTTCCATGACTGCATTCATTTGATCAAAAATACAGTAAAAACAGTCATTGTGAAATATATTATTGTAAAAATATAAATTTTAATAATATAATATTGTGAAATATTATTACAAATAATGTATTTTAAAATGTAATTTATTCCTGTGGTGGCAAAGCTACATTTTCAGCATCATTACTCCAGTCTTCAGTGTCACATGATCCTTTGGAAATCAATTTGGTGTTCAAGAAACATTTCCTAATATTATTAATGTTCTTTTCTTAATATTTTTGTGCTAAATTTTTTTCTGGATTTGTTGATGAATAGAAAGTTCAAAAGAAGAGCATGTATTTGAATTGGAAATCTTTTGTAACATTATAAATGTATTAATGTCACTTTTGCACATTTTAATGTATCCTTGCTGAATAAAAGTATTAATTTCTATCAACAACAAAAAAAAGAAAGAAATCCAGACCCCAAACTTTGAATGGTAATAAAGTTTACAGACCAAGTCAATTCACTAGTTAATATTTCCTTTAACAGCTCAGGACTCCTCTACAGATGAAGCTCCCATTTTCCTTGAGGCTCCTCATATTGCAGAGACCCCTTTGAGCGAGGAGGACCCAGATCATGAGCAGAGGGCAGCAGGAATGGGAAACGGGACTCAAGATGAAGAAACTACCCAACCACAGTCCTCAGACACCAACCTTAGACAAAGACATGGACCCTGGATGAGGCTCTGAGCTCCAAACTCTGGAGCGACCACAAACGCACATACATTCTTGTTACATTAGAGCGCATTACGTGACTCATAGCTAGCATATTTGAGACATTCCTTTTGCAATGCATTTTTCAACAAGAATTTTTTCAGATGCATTTGGAAACCAGTTTACCTCGTGGAGCTGATGTGAAGCTAAAGAGAATTTCCTGCTCTGCTGCTATTGTTCTCCTTTAGCTGATTACTTACTATAGGACTTAAAAGTCCCCTTTAGAGTCCTGTCATGCTTTAACCCATCGTTACTGAGGTCTGTGGTTCTGTTACAATATCAGTTTTGCATGTAAAGTGTAACTACTGTAGGTGTGTTCCTCTGCGTTATGATGTTCTCACAAAAATCTTTACCATGGCTAAGCAGTTCCGCTCAACTTCTTGGGATATTATACAATTTGTTTAATCAATTTCACTTATTTTACAGCAGAAAATGCAAAACATATTTTGTTAAAGAGAAGCATGTTACATATTATGAAAAATAAAGAGGACATTGTATGTATCATTTTGTAAGTATCATTTATTTGGGAAACATACTAAAATAATAATAATAATATTAGTAATTGTATTATTATTAACTTTGATAATATTTTAATTACGATTATGATATTTTTATTATTACTGTTACTATATAAAATAATATTCCAACACTACATGGAATATTAATCCTATTATGGAAGCATTTATTTTTTATATTTATTTAATTAAATTCATGCATATTTGTCCACTCTAACCAAAGATCTACTGGTATATTTGCTTTATTCTTTTGCATAGAGATTGTGAGCAAATCAGTAAACCATTATAAAAGGAAGAATGTTCGTATTTTCCGTTTACTTAATATGTTTATTTGTTTTTTGATTTATTTAATAAATCAGACATGAAGTCAATATCCATATCGGCAGTCACTCTTTTACTGCCCAACACTAGGAGGCAATAGTGAAGTGAATTGCAAACACTCCACTGGGTATTCGAAGAAGAACGGGGCGCAGCTCCATTTGAGACCGATTATTCTCACACAAAAAAACTGGCAAGAAAGGATCTCTTCCGACCTTGCAAGCCTACAAAGCGTTTATCTTATTTTCTCTCGATTTCGTTTTATTAAAAAAAATAGGAAAACAACGATTGGAAGTCCTATATTTTAAATTTAAAGTAGCGTTAAAGCCTTCTTAAAAGATGGCGACAGCTGACGACTCGCGCTACTATAGTGGTAAGTTTGAGCCGTTAGCAAAAGCGCTCAGCTGTTCACCTCCATTTAAATTGTCTGACATGAATAAGGTTTAGTTAAGATTATTCACAATCTTACTGCTTCTCAAAGACTGTTTTCTAACTCTGTGTAGTCTGTCAGCGTGTAACGTTACTCTATAATTTACATAAGTACCATCTAGCCAGCTAGCTTTTGTTTTTGTAGCTGCGTGATGTTTTTGTTGTTAGCTGTTAGTTCAGACAAACGGTAAACGCATTATCCAAACCGATTTAGCCGAATTTAATGTTATATTTTGTGAAAGGTTGTGAAAAGAATATTGAGCGGGGTGAACTGACCACATGGTGGTAAATGTGTGTTGAGTTCATGTTGAACTGCTGTAATATTGGCCTCCGAGGAGCCTTATAGCAAATTTCATAGTTTTGTAGTTCATCTCCTGCCTTCATTGTTTCTCAGACCAACAGCAATGCACAGTGCTCAACATCTGGTTAAAACTAAAGATTGACATACGAAATGGTACTCAAGAAATGTAGTTCTTTTTAAATGGATCCGTTTATTGAAGCTTTAAAACAAAATAACAAAAACAAATATATTCCAATAATATAAGTTGATATTTAAAAGGTATTGATTATGATGATAATTCAGAGATCTTTCAGGTATCAAATAGAGCTTTATAGGGTTAAAATCACGTTAAACAAGATAGTTGAGCAACATTTTTGTATATGAAGTCAACTTCTAAGAAACTGGTTTCAGACATACTTCCAAGTAACAGCATGTATAATAATCTAATCTATTTAAAGCAAACATTTAGTTACTGAAATGCTTATTTCTCATTGGAAATTAGTCATAAGTTTGGGAAAAATGGACAACAATCTCTGTAGGGGCACAGGTAATGTGTAATATAGTGTGAAATGATTCCAGCAACACAATTTACGTTTTAGCCAATATCCAAGCAGTGGCCCATTAGCACTTGTTTGATTACAGGGATTATGTCACTTGTATTTGTTAAACGCCTGTTTTCACACCTCTGACTCTTTCATCTTCCTTCTTTCAGAGCATGATGACCGTGTTGGTGGACCAAAGCATCGTAACCGTAAAGGCAGAGGCCCTTTCAGAGCCCCCCTGTACAGCGATCAGATTTCACGGCCGAGGCATCGAGGTGGTCACGGTGGTGGTGGAGTAGGCCCTGGTCCTCGGTCCAGACTTCAGGATGATGATGGAGATGTGACCATGGCAGAAGGTCCTCAAGACAGTGGTGCCCAGCGCAGATTGTAAGCACTTTGGGGCATAATTATACTTAATTTCTTACATAAACATTGAGGTTCAGTACTTTAGATTTTATGCTTGTTTTCAGCAATCCATATGGCCGGCCACAGAATCGGCGCGACAATCGCAAAGGTGGACGTGGTGGTGGTGGTGGCGGCGGCGGTGGAGGTGGAAATGACGATAGAGGTGGCAATCGATATGGAGTCAGATGTGGTGGAGGTGGCGGTGGTTCTGATGGAAGCCGCAAGAACTGGTTTAAAATGACTGTTAGTACATTAGACGTTAATAGCACATGAGTTAAGCAGTTATTAATGTATCAGGCTTTAATTTAAAGTACGTTCGTGACCTTGTTGGCATATTACATTGTGATTGTCTTTGTCTTGTTACAGATTCCTTTCGGGAAGAAATATGACAAAGATTGGCTTTTGTCTTCGCTTCAGAGCGTCTGTTCCATGCCATTCCATGCCGTTCATGTAAGTCTACACTAAACTGCATTTATATAGAAAAGCACCAATATGTCAAATTGCTAAATCTCTTCCGACTTGTCTTTTTTTGGCACAGTATCACACTGATGGCAACAAGGCCCAGTTTTATGTTGAAGACTCCACAACTGCTAACGCTTTGTTTAAAGTGTCACGGAAAATAACGGACAAAGATGGATATAAGGTAATACACATTATATGCAATGCATCATAAACATGGCAGAAATGGCATGTAGTCATCATTCTAATTAAATTTTTCTAAAGTAATAACCATAAAAAATACATGAATCTGTTTATGTGCAGATTTTTGTAAGAGTTTCTAGTTTAACCAGAGTGTAATTTGGTGTCAATCTGTTGGATGGATAGGTGACTGTTATTATGAACGGCTGCCCACCACCTGCTTTGATTCACACTGATCTGAAGGCCGCAGATTTGGAGCATTTGAAAGTAAGGGATTGTTACTTGCAGCAACCTTTAAGAGGATGTTTTTTTTCATTCATTTCATTTCTGGATAATAACTGACTGTCTTCTGCAGCAATGCATGGCTAAACGCTTTGATGGGTCACAGCAGGCTCTTGATCTGAACAACATCAGAGTCGATCCAGGTTGGACTTTCACGCAGTCATCTTTCTCCAAACAAAAACACTTATTCTTTTTGGCTTGTTGAAGGCTCAAATGTTTGTTCTTTTCTGGCAGATTTGGTTTCTCAAAATATTGAGGTCACTTTGAATCGGAGGAACTCCATGTTGGCGGTTATCAAAATAATCGAGGAGAACATTCCTGAGGTACAACGTTACATTTTTCTTGCATGATTGCCTGAAAATGTACATTTCTTCCAAAAAGCTTAGCAGGCATATACACTGCCTTTTAAAATTTTTGATCAGTAAGACCGAAGTTGGTATTTTATTTAAAAAATGTTTTGCATAAAAATAAAAGTTCATATTTTTATTCAGCAAGGACACATTAAATTGATCAACAGTGACAGTAAAAACATTTGGAACTATGGATGTAACGTTTAACCGTGAGCCGGTTGAAAATCGATTCAAATATGTGACGATTCAAATCGGTTGAGATGCTAAACAAATCGCGATTCAATTAGGTGTAGGAGTTTATTTGAATGTATGTCTGAGGTGAACTTATAATTTTAAATGGAAAGAGCACAGACAAAGCCTTATTTTGTTTATATGAAGAGATTTCGTTTGTTTGTTAATTATTTATTTGATTTATTTGATTGTTTTAAAATGTCAATTTAGTTTTATTTACATTTACATTATATTTAAATTTTATTTAGCAGACGCTTTTATCCAAAGCGACTTACAAATGAGGACAATAGAAGCAATCAAAACCAACAAAAGAGCAATAATATACAAGTGCTATATTAGTATATTATTATAGTGTTATATTTCAGTTTCACAAAGAAACATGCAGCATTTTGTCCAAGCAATAATAAAAGGACACATTTAATTTATAATTTCTTAAATCTCATTTTGTTAAAAAAAAAAAAAATGAATCGAATCGTGAGTTGAGTGAATCGTTACATCCCTATTTGGAACATAACAAAAGGTTTCCGTTTCAAATAAATGCTGTTCTTTTGAACTTTATCAAATAATCCTGAAGAAAATGTATCATGGTTTCTACAAACATATTAAGCAGCACAACTGTTTGCGTAATAAATGTTTCTCGAGCAGCAAATTAGCATATTAGAATGATTTTTGAAGGATCATGTGCCACTTAAGACTGGATTAATGGCTGCTGAAATTCAGCTTTGTGGTTACAGGAATAAATTACATTTTAAAATATTTTACAATAGAAAACATTTTAAATTGCAATAATATTTCACAATATTACTGTTTTTACTGTATTTTTGATCTGTTAAATGCAGTCTTGGTGAGCATAAGAGTCTCTTCTTTCAAAAACATTAAAAATCTTACCAACCCCTCACAGAACTTTTTGAGCGTTAGTGTACATTGTTGAACTCTATAGATGTGATCAAAAAACGTTTTTCTTTTTCCTTTCACAGCTGATTTGTCTGAACCTAAGCAACAACCGGTTGTACAGGCTGGATGACTTGGCGGATATTGTCAACAAAGTTCCCAACTTGAAGATTCTCAATCTGTCACATAATGAGGTATGATTATGCTCTCTGACTCCTATAGATATACTGTTTCCTGTAGGCTCGTCAGTCATGTGTCATTGTATCATCTTGTAGCTGAAGACGGAGAGAGAGCTTGATAAACTGAAGGGTCTGAAGCTGGTGGAACTCTCGTTGGAGGGAAATCCTTTATGTGGACACTACAAGAACCAGGCCGACTATGTCAGGTTAGTCTTCTCTGCCATTTGTTGCCAGAAAAATACTATACACAAGTACATAAATATCAAGCGCAGTACTTTGAAACATGCGCTCTTATGTTACTCGGCAAGCCTATATGCTCTTAAAGCTATAGATATTAACCTGATTGATTTTCTGTAATGTACTAGAATGCAATGCATACATGCGTTGCGTTATGAATTGCAGTGTGTTCAAAAACACACAAACTCATGCTCACACAGAAGCGTCTGTGTTCACGTACTTGCGTAGAGTATGTTTCAGGCCTGAAACAGAATAGTTGTGCGTGTTGGTGTGAATATGCACATGAATGCATGCGTTTGCAAAGCCGTACCCCTTGTAGTTCAGTAAAAAAAAAATGAGTGGGGGTGTTAATGGCTCTATAACTGGTTTGTAAAATACACCTAGAAAACATGGCAGTCATTAGAAAGGGAAATGTGCTGAATATTTCAGATTTGTGAGTTGAGGTTCACTTTGAATTTGAATTTTTTTTGAGAGAAACATTAATCCCTGGCAGGAGAGAGTCTGACGTGACATTTATAAGGACATTCTTGGTAGAAAGTGTCCCTAATTTTTTTTTTTATTATTATTATTATTATTACACATTAACATTTTTTTTTATTTCTCAATTGTCCCAATCACTGCATGTTATTCTAAAGAAAAAAGAAAAAAAGAATCCATAAGTCCCACCCTATGTGTGATTTAAATGCTAAAGTAATGGTCATTCAAGCCTGTCTGTAATATGCAGGTGTATTATTTTCATTAACCAGTGAGCTCTTGATTATTTTCCACTAGTTCAATCATCAGGCATGTGATAATGATATTTACTTGTTCGAGTTCCAGTGGCAGTCCAGTAAGGAGCATAAGTTTGTCGACACCTCTGGTTCTTTATGCTTTCCACACTTGCGTTGCTTCATTCTTGCTTTTTCCGACCCTTTGTTCTGCCCCCTCACTGTTGGCCCTGTAGCTTTTTGCACAGAACACAGCGATTGGCTTTTCTAAAACCATTTAGCATATTGTAAATCTCATTAGCTCATACTTCAGTAGTTAAAGTCAGTTTAAGCAGCAGCTTCTGCATGTGACCTCCCAGAATGCAGATGAATAAGTTGGCATACAAGGACAGAACAACCATTGGAGATGATGCTCTATTAAGTACTTTTGTGCTCCACCTGTCTAACATGCTGGCACCCTCCTCCCTCCACCCGCCCTGCACATGTCTAACACCTGTACTGCTGATGCCGTGTGGCCAGTGAGAGGCTGGTTAGTCAACGACGGGTAAGATCCCACCTTTTGATTCTGGGACAACCTAAGGCAGGCACAGCCGCAAAACTGGCCACAGCCAACCTCTTGGAGATGAAGAAGACCATTCAAGGAAGAAGATGAGTTGTTTGTGAGGAGATGCCACTGGTGGAGAAGGAGAGGGGAGGTTTTTAAGAGAAACCTTGAGCCAAGCACTGCTCAGAAACATGAGCTTTTATTCATGGTGCAAAATGAATAATGAGAGCAGAGGCAATTCTCTTTCTCTGTTTCTGTATTGAAACCAAGGTGGAGGATAGTTGGTCAGACTGACCATTTTCATGATCCTCGTCCTAGAGCACTTTGGAGGAAAAAACATCTGATCATCAATTCAGCAAAGACAAAACATTGAGAGAAAATACTGGAGGAGGATCACAGGAAACAATTTTTAAAATATTCATTTCAATATCAAATAGGCTACAAATTACCACAAATTAGACTAAATAAGCAATATAAACGTAAGGTGTCTGGGCTCAAATGAAGCTTCAATTAATAGTTTGAATAAATACCCTGCTGTTCTTAAATTTAATAGTAGGGTCCAAATGAAGTAGGGCGAATAACCCATACACCTTTATAGCACTCATTTGTTTCAATCATATTATGATCTGTGCAGAGGCTCAGGGCTCAACGTTTGTGCTCTTCTGGGGTTTTTTTTTTTGAATGTCTACCTGATTTTATTGACTCGCACTCTTTTTGTTTGGTTTCTCGCTGTATAGCTTTTCTTTTACTGTCTCCTCTGTGGTTCATCCATAAGTGTCATTTTTTTCCCCCATGTGTGGCTAAATTTACTCACAATTAGGTCTATAATAAATAATAAATACAACTATAAATAAAAACTATTAAAGCACCCAATGAACAGTTTACACTTTAAGTTTTAACAATTTAACATGCCAACGTTTGTCGAGCTGTATGTTAGTGCCTGAAAAAAAAAGTACCTCATAGAGTTTTGACCGTAAGAACCACCAGTATGTCAGATCTCGTCCAAGTACCTCAAACTCTCCCCTTTCCACTGAGTACACTTCCTAAATGTGCTAAAAACAAAATACTGACCGACCGACCGACTGATTGATGGTGTGAATGTTCACCAAACTCTACCCCTCACAACACCCCACTGCCCCCATCCTTTGCCAGCCTGCGTGTGTCTGTGTTTCGGCCTGTAGGGGGCACCGGTGGTGAGTATTGTGGATGGGTAAGTACTGTGCCGGGGGTTGGGAGGGAGTTGGAACAGGACTGTGATTGGCTGATTGGTGCCATGGCTCAAATGCCCATGTTTTCCATTCACACAGGTACAACACAAACTTGATCAAGTATTCAGCAAACATTCTCTGTTTGTTCAAATTAAATGAATGGTGTTTGTTTAAACTGTCACAGTACTGTTCAAATGTTTGGGGTCAGTAAGATCAGATTATTATTTAAAAAATTTATATTCAGAAAGGCTCATTAAATTGAGTGGGGAAAAAAAATCTAATTTAAATAAATGGTGTTTTTTTTTTTTCAATGTTCTGTTCATCAAAGAATCCTGAATTTTTTTTTATAAATGTTTCCACAAGCATTTTAAGTAGCACAACTGTTTTCAACATTGATAATAATGAGAAATGTTTCATGAGCACCAAATCAGCATATTAAAATGATTTCTAAAGGATCATGTGACACTGAAGACTGGAGTAATGATACTGAAAATTCAGCTTTGCCATCAAAGGAACAATTTACTTTTATTCAAATAGAAGTTATTGTTATACAATTGTAACATTTCACAATATTACTTTTTTTATTGTATTTTTGATTAAATAAATGCAGCCTTGGTGAGTATACATTAATAAAATCCTGCCGACCCCAAACTTTTGAACTGTGATGTGTAAAATGTGTAAATCCACAGTTTTGCAATATCTCAAGCCTGATGGATAATTGTCTGTAAGTAAATATTTCTCTGATTGAATCACTTTTTACCTATTTGTCCCGTACTTAAGATGGCCCGATTTAAGTTTTTGAGTTTGTGTTGGACCGTGTCATTGGCACATGTGCAGTCTTTGCTAACGTTGTCTCTCTTGTTGTGTCTTTGTGATTGTTGGACAGTGCCGTTCGGGAACGATTCCCCAAGCTGCTCAAACTGGTAGGAAATCCAGTGTTCATCTGTTGGTGTAACATTATTAGCTTGCGAACATACAATTGTGGTAACCAGAAGAAGTGAATATGTAGTCACATTCACTCTTTGGCTAAATTGTAGATTTGACGTGTTGTGTCTGTTTATTGTTTTAACAACAGGATGGACACGTCCTTCCGCCTCCCATTGGATTTGATTTGGAAGTTGCTCCTGCGACTCTTCCCCCCTGCAAGGTTTGGTCAAGCTTTCATACTTTCTTCACTGAGATGCCTATATTTGGCTTTGATTCTTAACCTCTGTTTTACTTCAAACACAGGCTAGCTACTTCTGCTCGGAAGAAATCAAGAACATCATCCTTTGTTTCCTGCAACAGTACGTATTCTTTGATCTTAATACAGCACACCAGCAGTAAAACTAAAACATTCAGATCAATATGTTCACGTATCTGTCTCACCCTCCAGGTATTACAGCATATATGACTCAGGAGACAGACAGCCCCTGCTGGACGCCTACCATGACGGGGCAGCTTTCTCCCTCAGCATTCCCTTCACCCTGCAAAACGCTTCAAAGTACAGTATACCTTCTCTCTCCTCTATCATCTAGCCAACCACTATTGACTTGTACTGAACATTTTCCTCATTCTTTTTGCCTGCAGAAGTAGTTTAGGGGAGTATCAGAAAGACTGCCGCAATATCAGGCGTATGAAAGACGACCCCAGTAAGTAATTATTAAATAATCTACATCAAGTTTCTGTCCTCTTCTGACTTCAACATCAAGGTGTGATCATATTTCAGCGAAGTTTTGCATTTGGGCAAAAAACCCAAGCAGCTTTCTGTTGCTCAAATTTGAGTGAGCAACTTGAACACAAGTGAAACCTGCATAGGGAACTTCTTGTCCTCACACAAAACTCTCGATTGCGCAAAATTTCACAGCAGTAATAAATGTGGCCGCACCTTTAGTATTAAATTGTATCCTGAATTGTGTGTGATGAGTTGTGCCATTTCCTTTCAGCTACACGGTTTCGTTTGATTAAACACACAAGATTAAACGTGGTGGCTTTCCTGAACGAACTCCCCAAAACTCAACATGACATCGCCTCCTTGATCGTAGATGTCAACACCTACACAGTGAGTCAAACCTGCGGTTTTCTGGTTGCATGGTTCACATTCAGATTTGCGGTTCTAATTGCATCTGTGTTTTTTGCAGGCTACATTGTTGGCATTTACAGTCAGTGGGGTTTTCAAAGAGAGTAAGTTCCATCTAAAATCATTGAGTCAGACATTTAAGGTCAGAAATTCTCATATGCGTTTTTTTTTTTTCCCTTCATTTTTTTCACATGCGTTATCCTTTCCTCTGAAAATGCATGCTACAGATGCGAAAAACACATACAATCGAACCCAATCAATTTTTTTTATGACGGACGAAAGTTTCAGAGGTAGTGTGTAAATGTGATTGACAGCGTGAGGCCGTATTTATTTATTTTTTTACATGCAAAAATTTTGGAATCTGAACAAGGACCTTTACTCTGAACTGAGAGAGTTTTGTGACTCGCATTTTTTATTTTTTTTTATTTAAGCAGATGGCAAATCGCGAGACTCATTCAGAGCCTTCTCCCGGGTGTTCATTGCTGTTCCTGCTGTTCCTGCTGGGTAAGATCTCGCATATAAAAATGTGTTTGGCTTCATGTGCCATTGGTCATATCATCGTAACATATTTTCAACTCTTCAGTCTGTGCATTGTGAATGACGAGCTCTTCGTTCGAAATGCCACTACGGAGGAAATTCGACGTGCGTTTGTTGCTCCAGCCCCCACGCCCTCCAGCAGCCCTGTGCCCACTCTGTCCGCCCCGCAACAAGAAATGCTTGCTGCCTTCTCCCAAATGTCTGGCATGAACCTAGAATGGTCTCAGAAGTAAGGACTACAATACATGTTCATTATTGCTTTTGCTAGTTATTTGTTCAGTTTCTAGAATCATATGAAGATGGATAGCTTGTCAAGGTCTGAACTTTCTTGTTATTTCAGGTGCCTACAAGACAACGATTGGGATTTTGACAGGGCTGCTCAGATCTTCACTGGCCTTAAGGTACACCAGTGGTTCACAAGAATAAATGAGTTCATTTACAAAAACCGATAAATGCCACTTTATAAAAAAAAAAAAAAAAAAAAACA